ATGGTAGGGATACTATCTAAATTGGATCTAGGTGTTGGTGCCCCTGGGTAACTGGCAGAAACAAGCACAGAAGCTAAACCCTCAGGAAAACAACATTAGTAAGAAATAAGACATTGTCAGGGAAACAGCTGAGACACTCCTGCAGGAACTGTGAGACCTCTTTCCAGAACATACACAGGACTCAACATTTTTATTGCTGCATGTAAGGAATATCATAGATGGTTTTCATTTCAGATAGTAATTTTTTATGAAACGTATGCAAGTCATTATTGCAAGTATCTAGACAATGGAGACTTCAGGAGTGAGGGGCATCTCTACTTGGAATTATTTCTTCTCTTTTCTTTGGTACTCTCTCTTGTCCCACCTGATCAGCTTCTTTTTTGTTTATTTTACCTTTTAAAATATTAATTGGACATTTTTTCCTCATTCATTTTTCTTTCTACAGATTTGGAAGTTAAACATTCTGTATTTATTAGTTTACTAGTTTCCTTAACATTTCCATCATGCCTACTTAACTTATAAAACTCTGAAATTCAAATTTCATTCCTTTTAAACAATTATCTTACTAAAGCTTTAAATCTGATCATGCCTTCCCAACTTATCTGTAACTATCATTGGATATCATAGCTCTACCCTGTTTTAAACCCAAAAAGAAGTATTGTTTTGTACATTCAATGTTGCACAAATATTGACTCACGTATTTTCCACTTTTTTTGTCCTTTACTCTTTTTTGCATCTTCCCTGTGGAATAGATCTCCTTTAGCCTGGAGAACGTCTTTTGAGCTTTTTAAAGAGAGTATCTTTCGTTACAAACTCTCTCACTTTTCCTCATCTGACAATATTTTTTCTTTCTGCAAAGTACCTAACTTTAGTTTGATAGGAATTTTCTCTCATCTCACTGAAATAGTCCACTGTTTTCTGGCTTCCCTTGTTGTTGTCGAGAAGTCAACTGTCAGTATAACCACTCTTCCTTTTTCTGGTAGTTTTTAAGATTTTTCTTTTCGTCTATGGCATTCTGTACTTAAGCTAATCTAGATGTTTATTTATTTTTTGTTTATTCTACCTTGATTCATGACTCTATAGATTGATGCTTTTTATCAGACCGGCAAATTTCTCAGCCTTTTTCTCTTGAAATATTGTCTCTACCTCATTCTTTCTCCTCTATTTCTAGAACTCCAATTATTTAAATTGTATTAGAAGTTTTCACTCTGTTCTACCTCACTCTTTTCCGTTATATGTTCTCTTTTTCTCATTGTGCTACATTCTGGATAAATTCTTCAGATCCGTTATCTAGTTCACTAATCTTCTCATGAAGTATCTAATTATCCATTTAACCCAACCATTGCTTTCATGTCAATATTTTTTCATTTCTGAAAGTTCTATTTTATTCTTTTTCAAGTCTGCTTGTTTAATTTTATATCACTTTATATATATTGTAATCCTTTTTTTAAAAAGAAAAAACCTTTAAAAAAGCTAAACACAGCCATTTTATATCCTGTTTGGCAAACCCAGTCTCTAAGAGTTTTGCTAGCTGATTCAGGCGTCTGTTTACTGTGATGCTCTCATCCACGTCATCCTGTTTCCTCTTGTGTTTGCAGCTTTGACAATGAGCTTCCACTCTTTGGAATGTCATCTGCAGGTGTCCTCGAGGCCTCACTTGCTAGTGGATAGCATCCTTGCTTTTGCTTCTTCCAAACTTCTGAGGACACTAACAACTTGGGACACTTTTAAACTAAACTACTTCTACAGGCACACCTTGTTCTGCACTTCACTTTATTCTGTTTTTCACAAATGGAAGGTTTGTGGAAACCCTGCATCAAGCAAGTCTATAGGTCCCATTTTTCCAACAGCATTTTCTCACTTCTTGTCTCTGTGTCACATTTTGGTAATTCTCACAATATTTCAACCTTTTTCATTGTTATTGTATTTGTTATGGTGACCTGTGATCAGTGGTCTTTAATGCTACTCTTGTGATTGTTTTGGGGCATCATGAACCACGCCTGTATAAGACTGGAACTTAACCTACAAATGTTGTGTGTGTTCTGACTGCCCCACCGTCGGCCCTTCTCCCATCTCTCTCCCTCTCCTTTGGTGTCCCTACTCACTGAGACACAACAATACTGAAATTGAGCCAGTTAATAACCCTACAGTGGCCTCTAAGTGTTCAAGTGAAAGGAAGAGTCGTACATCTCTCACATTAAATCAAAAACTAGAAATGATTAAGCTTAGTGAGGAAGGCATGTCAAAAGCAGATACAGGCCAAAAACTAGGCCTTTTGGGCAAAACAGTTAGCCAAGTTGTGAATGCAAAGGAAAAATTCTTGAAAGAAATTAAAATTGCTACTCCCATGAACACATGAATGATAAGAAAGTGACACAGCCTTATTGCTGATGTGGAGAAGGTTTTAGTGATCTGGATAGAAGATCAAACCAGCCACAACATTCCCTTAAGCCAAAGCCTAATCCAGAGGAAGGCCCTAACTCTCTTCAATTCTGTGAAGGATGAGAAAGGTGAGAAAGCTGCAGAAGAAAAGTTTAAAGCATGAGGTTTAAGGAAAGAAGCCGTCTCTATAACATAAAAGTGCAGGGTGAGGCAGCAAGTGCTGAGGTAGAAGCTGCAGCAAGTTCTCCAGAAGATCTAGCTAAGATAATCAATGAAGGTTGCTACACTGAAAAACAGATTTTCAATGTATATGAAATAGGCTTCTATTGAAAGAAGAGCAATCTAGGACTTTCATAGTTAGAGAGGAAAAGTCAATGTCTGGCTTCAAAGCGTTAAAGGACAGGCTGTATCTTGTCAGGGGCTAATGCAACTAGTGATTTTAAGTAGAAGCCAATGCTCATTTACTATTCAAAAAATCCTAGGTCCATTAAGAATTATGCTAAATCTACTTTGCCCGTGCTGTGTAAATGGAACAACAAAGCCTGGATGACAGCACACCTGTTTACAACATGACTTACTGAATATTTTAAGCCCACTGTTGAGACCTACTGCTCAGAAAAAAAAGATTCCTTTCAGAATATTACCGCTCATTGACAATGCCCCTGGTCACTCAAGAGCTCTGATGGAGACGTACAACAAGATGATGTTGTTTTCATGCCTCTAACGCAGCATCCATTCTGCAGCCCATGGATCAAGGAGTAACTCCAACTTTCAAATCTTGTCATTTAAGAACTACATTTCATAAAGCTATAACTGCTATAGACAGTGATTCCTTTGATGATCTGGGCAGAGTAAACTGAAAAACTTCTGGAAAGGATTTGCCATTCTAGATGCCATTAAGAACATGTGTGATTCAGGGGAAGAGGTCAAAATATCTACATTAACTGGAGTTTGGATGAAGTTGATTCCAACCTTCATGGATGACTTTGAGGGGTTCAAGACTTCAGTGGAGGAAGTCACCACCGATGTGGTGGAAACAGAAGGAGAACTAGAGTTAGAAGTGGAGCCTGAACACGTGACTGAATTACTATAATCTCATGATAAAACTCTGTCGACAAAAATAATCCATAACCAATCTATAAATGAAAATTTGGGTGAGTTTATTTTGAGCTAAAATCTGAGGACCATGGCCCGGGGCCTTTCTTCCTGAAGGAAGAAAGGACACCAAAGAAGTGAGGTATACAGAGCCGTTATATACCCCCAAACAAGACGTTTCACATATGATTGAAATGTCCCTCCCACAATAGTCACAAGATTGCCCTGTCGGCACAGCGCTTGATGGATGCAGCAGGTAGTGGGTCTGCTATCTGGGAGGACGTAGCAGGAGGCAAGTCTATTGTCTCGAGCTGGGCGGTCACAGGTGAGCACAGCAATCAGTTACTAGCCTAAGGAAAGATGCTTAATCCTTAAGGAAATGCCAAGGTTGGGAGGGGGAGGGAAGTTGCACCTTTATCTCAAGGGCCTTTGTTCTTGCCATAGGGAATGTCTAAAGCAGATATACAATGCATGCTCCATGGCCAGGGACAGGCCCTTTTGGAAAAACAAGATCAGGCCGAATTAGTTTTACACCAAATGGGTTCCTCATATACTCCTGTCGCTTGCCATTTCTATTTGTCAGTTCTAACGGATGAGGAGTTGCATCTTACGGATGAGTAAAGAAAGCGGTTTCTTGAGATTTAATCTACTCCAGGTGAAGATGCTGTGCAGACTGTTGAAATGACAACAAAGGATTCAGAATAGGACATAAACTTAGTTGACAAAGTAGCAGCAGAGTTTGAGAGGATTGGATCCAATTTTGAAAGAAGCTCTACTGTGGGTAAAATGTTCTCCCAATAGCATCGCATTCTAGTTCTCTTACTACAGAGGAATTGTTCATGAAAGGAAGGGTCAATTGATGTGGCAAAATTCACTGTTGTCTTATTTTAAGAAACTGCCACAGCCACCCCAGCCTTCAGCAACCCCCATCCTGGTCAGCCAGCATCCATCAACACCGAGGGAAGACCCTCCACCAGCAAAATGTCTATGACTCGCTGAAGGCTCAGATGCCGGTTAGCATTTTTCAGCAATAAAGAAATTTTTAAATTAAGGTATCTACATTGTTTTCTTAGACACAAGCTATTGCACACTTAATAGGCAAGAGGATAGTGTAAACATAACTTTTGTATGCACTGGGAAACTGAAAACTTCATGTGACTTGCTTTATTGTGATGCTCACTTTATTGGGGTGGTCTGGACCTGAACTCACAGCATCTCTGTGGCATGCCTCTAACAGCCGTTTTGAACTACCCAGAGGATATGGCTTCAGTCTGCAAATGCTTGCATACTGACTTGTGAGGAATTATTGGGAAAGCCTCCTTTCCCATTTCAGTCTTCTTCCAATTAGCCCTTAGTTGAGGATTTAGCCCCTGAAGTGCGAGGCAGGGAGAGCCACCAACTGACCCCCACCTGGAGTAGCTTTTCTCCTGCCACCCTCTGCCTCCAACCCTGACACTCTGCGAAAATTGAATTTCAAGTTCACTTAAGTTCGGCCAACATCTCAGGGTGGTAGCTCCACTTACCTGTCAACATTCCCATTGTCATTAGTTTTTGGCCTCTGAGTGAGGCTGGACCATCGTGAATCTTCTTCCACAAAGCCAGAAAGAGAGCACCCACCGAATGCTTCCTTGTTCCTTCAGTTAGTGTGTGTGCGTGCTGTTCATTAAAAAGAGTAATTAGAATGCCTATGTCCCAGGATATCGTTAAGATCCTTGTGTTTGTCTGACTAACGTTTTTGATCACCTACCGTTTTCCATTTGTGTTGTTCTGTTTCAGCTGCATCTGGATCCACAGAGCCCCTCCCTGGAGCATGACTGCTGCGCAGAGACGGGGACCCCACACAGCACCGTGGAGTCATTTTTCCTTCTCCTGGAAAGGAAATGAAACAAAACTCAGTTTCTTATGACCTTTCCCAGAAAACAGAGAATACGCAATGTCATCAAATTCTCTCTTAAGTCTTTTTTTTTTTTGTTTGCTTATCTTTGAAATTACATTTGCTTGCAATTTAGGTTTCTATAAAATAACAGAGACAGACAAGCACCTCAGTGTCCCAAATGAGGTAAGAATCTGTGTTTGGACGTCACTCTGAGCCCACAATTTCTGCTATGGGAAAGTGACAAGGGAATCTGAACACCCGCCATTTGGGGCTGGTGGCTCATTCTGCTGTGGAGACAAAGTCCATGAGGACTTACAATAAAAAATAAAGAAAATAAAAAGAACATAGAGTAGGAGGGAGGGAGTAAGCCCTCTTGGATTCAAATACGTGAATGTTGCCATATATTTGCTTTAGTTTTGGAGCAACTGAAAACATATTCATCTGTACAGCTGAGTGATGTTGGATTTTCCAGTTAATCATGTTCCTTTACAACAAAAAAATGTTAAATACATAGATACACATTCCAACATGTTGTGATGCTTATTTTCTCCTAAAGTACTTTTCATATTTTCCTGTAACAAAATTAGAGGCATGTGAACAGTAACTTAACACGTACAGAGCACCCACCAGGGTGAGGGGCTTGGCATACATTATGTAACTTAATTCCTCTCCTGGAATCCTTATCTCTCATTGTGAAAATGAGGAAATTGAGGGACAAAGAGACTAAAGAAGGGATCGAAGTTTACTCATGTGTTAGATAGAGATACTGTGATTTAAATTAATCCAGGTAAAATCTGATTTTTCAAGTATAATTCATAACAGAAAACAATCTAGCATAAGTTTAATGATATTTATTTAAACCAAACATTGGAACATCATTTAAGGAGTGTTAAGGAAATAGGAGTACCTTCTTAATTCATATCTGAGGGGCAGTTTTATGTTTCTTAAAGGAACGTCTTTCTTTACCTGGACAAGGAAGTTTAAGGAGCTTAGATCAGCAAAGGTAGAAATAAAGCTAATATTTTAGATGCTCTTTGTGCCTGTGTGTCTATAACCAAAGTGAATATGCATATGTGTATACGTAGAAAACAAATACTGCCTGTAGAAAACATGTCTTTGATTAAGAAAAGAGATCTTCAAAACAAGTTTTTCCATAAAAAATAGGTAAATTTATTCATAGATAATATGACAGTAAGACACTGTATGAAGTTGCTTTATTCCTTTTGATATTTTCCCATTCTAATAGATTTCCTTCTCACCCAAAGACCACTGTTATGCAGGAAAATTACTAGCCACTATAATACATTCCTACGTTATTAACTGACATAAAAAAATATTGTCAGTTTGTAATAGCTCTTCTAAGGTTATGATTACCACAAGGAATACGTGGTTTTTATTAAATTCCTCAAAAAAAGATGTAGCAACCCACAATGGAAATACTTGCATTAAGATGACACTCAGACCAAATGTCCAGCTTGAATCTCAGAAAATCTCTCCAGTGAAGTGGCAAACTGGCAGCTGCAAACCATGGTGATTTCAGTCTGCTGACTGGCATTTCTTCACCATCCCAACCTAAAGAGCCCACACAAATTTATGTGGAATTAGACAGAACTTGAGGAAACTGACGGTGTCCTTTCTATATTCTATATTCTATACCATCAAGAAGGACTGTCTCAAACAGCCCTCAGGACTCGGAAGCAGCTGGCCATCCACTTCTTCCCTGACTCTCCTGTTGCCCCTGTCATCTCTGACTGTGGGAGAGGCAGGAAGATGTGTCACTTTTTAGGGATAAATAGTAAGTACTGTTATTGCTTTAACCTTCTAGAATATTACTGAGACAGATGTGCTTACCTGTTGACTTTCTCTGGTACATGCACATTGGAAGATTCTATTTTAAATGGGAAAATATTTTTTCCTGTGAATATCTAGCAGCATTTCCCCAGGCAAATAGTAAAAACTAAAATTCTAAACATAGAAACAAATGGTATATAGACCAACATAAATTACCAGGTGACAGCAAGCAACTCTTACCTAAACACCTTCAGAGGCTGGCCTGGAGTGTAAGGCAGGGTTCCTTGAGCTGAGCACGTTTGACATTGCGGGCAGAATAACTCTGTTGTGGAGGCCGTCCTGTGTGCTGCAGGACATTTGGAGGCATCCCTGGCTTCTAGCCCCTGGACACCAGTCACAGTGTCTCCCACACCCTCCACCTCCTTGCACTGAGCCAACCCAATTGCCTCCAGACATCACAGATGCCCTGTCAGGGCACATGCACTGCTGTGCACAGAATTGAGACGGACGAATGCATGATTAAAAACATATTGGATGGTCTCAGGTTATCAAGCTTTAGATAATCTTTCTATCATTCTATGTTATGTATATACATCTGCTCTGCAAAGGTTTTAAAGCTTTCGAAAAGTTACAATAAGCCGCATGCTGCATTAAAGGCATAGTATCTGTTCTGGAGTTTTGATACATGGCAGGCACTCAGTCAACAACTGTTGAGTGAACTGATGAATGAAGGAATTCTCATAAAAGAACAAGATAGAGTTCTTGTCTACACTCAAGTACAATTAGCCATGACCCAGTTAACAACTATAGGACTGAACTCTGAGAGGCCCACCCGGGGGCCTGGGGAGGGCTAGGGAGGATGGCCCAGCTTCGGCTCTGGGTGAGACATGGTCTGCCAGACAGTAATTGTTCATTAAGTCTCACGGTAGGCCTTGCACCAGGAGGCTCTCCAGCGCACGTCACACAGTGCCCTGCAGGAATGGCCAGTCAAGAGGACCCCTGAGGTTGAGTGAGCGGGCAGCTAGGTAGCTGGCAGTGTGGAAGTCGTTGAACCAATCATGGAACTCCAGTCACCATTTTCAGACCCAGCGTCAAGAGTTTAACTCCTGGAGGTGACTGATAAGAATGAAGCTGAGATTTTCCCATGCCAGGGTGTTGGTCAACAGTGAAAGTGATGAGGATTTTAGGCTGGTTACTTTTAAAACTGCAGATGAGAAGGGGGCTCTGAAGAGTGGAATTTGCTTGCCCTTTGATGAGAGACATTTGCATTTGTGAAGCTAGTCTCCATCTGTGGGGGTGTCTCCCTCTGCACCAGGAGGAAGGCGGGATGGCCTTATCTCTGGAAACTCTCAATGGGGAAGGCAGGGAGTTAAGTTGTTTACTGTCTGGCAACCTCATGTAACTGACCCCCCTCCAACATCCTCCTTTGTCTTTAGCTGAAGAGAATATTTAAGCTGTGGCTTCTGCCATTTACTTAACCCGGTTTGATTCTTATCTAAAAGTTATAGGACCACCCAATAACCAGAACCTACCGGCACTGATATCATTTTAACAACTTTTTTACGTATTCTTTCCTTTGCCCTGTAAAGCAATAACTCACATACCTATGCCTTAAATGTAGCCCCACCCTCAACTCATTTTTGCAGCAGTAGCTCTGACTGCCCAAGGGTCCTGTCCCCATGCTATTCCACACTATTCTCTAAATAAAAGAGCACTACTGCCAGACCTGGAGAGTCCAAGAAATCTTTCTTTCGACTCCTCTGCTCACCGAACCTGCATCAAAAGGAATTTAAGTCCAGAAATGACTGTGACCCAGGCACCTGAGTTGAAGCCCTGGTGGGCCCATGACCTTCCCTTGCGTTGCATGAGTAGATGACCCTGGTTGTCTGTACATGTTGCTGGGCAATACTCTGAAGCACTGGATTGTGATTTTATCAATACATATTTATATGTTTATACACACACACACACACACACATCATACTCTTGGACCTAAAATATCCAAGCTGTGAAACATTAATTTGGAGCAGAAATGTCATTATTCTGAGTAAGTGTGCTCCTGCGGCACACCACATGAAGAAAGCAACGGGAGTTCAAGAACTCAGAGAGGTGCTTCTCACAGGAGGAGCTGTCACAGAGATCCAGAATCCCAGTTCTGCCCATTGAAGGCTTTATGGAGCCCACAGACCTCCCTGTCCCACGACCCCTGACATAAGACTCATCAGGAGGCAGGTTACCCCACCACCCCAAAGCAGAGCGTTCCTGTGAAACCTTTCATAAGCCCAAATAGCAGAAAGCGAAGGAGCACTTACCATTAATTGATGTGGGAAACGTTCCTGAGCTTCCCCAGACCCAGACCGCCAGCCATCACAGTACAGGCTAGGAACCAGATGCTCAGACATCTGGGGGATGGTGAAGCTGGGGGATGGTGGGGGAGGGAGTGCGCGGTGCTGGGGGCCGCCGCCCTGGAACACCCACTGCAAACAAATGCGCAGGCTGTTTCCAATTGCCTCATAAAACCAAAAATCCTCTTCTGATTTTTCTGGGTTAGTGAGAACAGGTACTAAGGCAGATCCCTCAGAGAAGCGACTTGTCCTAAAGTGAGCTTTCGGGTAGGCAGGCCGGAAACCTGCACTCCTAGCTGCAGCCGGGAAGTTTCTGCTCCTCCAAATGTTCCCACGTGTCCAGAATCCAGAACGAGGCATCCTGAAGACAGCCCCTGAGAACCCTCAGACAACCCTTCCTTACGATGCAGCCCGGGACTCACAGTCTGGGATCCACAGCTGCTGGGTCACGAATTGTCTGAGTGTCTGTGACCCTAGACACACTGTGCAAAATTATAGGGGTGCTTTTCAGGCTTTTTCTAAGATTGACACCAAATTCTCAGACCTCTGTGATCCATAGAACCTTCAGAATCACAAATTCACAGATATTTTAGTGGTGAGTTCAGACCGATCGCCAGACATCTGGAGTATCACACACATCTGGATATCACACACATCTGGAGTATCACCAGACATCGGGAGTATCACACACATCTGGAGTATCACACACATCTTGGAGTGAGAGAACGCAGTGTCCATCACCATCTGAATATTGCTGTCAGAAGTATCGTAATATCTAAAGCTGTACACATTTTGGTTTACTTTGCCTAATTATACCTACAAACTTTGATGAAGTATCATAAAATAATGAAGGAATG